GAAAACAGTTGACTTGAGGAGGACCGTCGACACGGGCGACAACACCGTCGCTGGAGCACGGCGGAGCCGCCGTGACGAAATTCTGAAATTGGCAGAGTGGGCCCTGGGACTGATTTTGAAAAAATTCAGGGAACTCAATGACCGCCTGTAGGCGTAGTAAACAGCTTATCTTTTCATATATCAAATCGAGTAATGATCAATCACCCTATTCTCTATCATAGAATTGATGTTTAAATAAAATAATAATATAGTATTTGTGCAAATTAAATAAATGTGCACAATTAATTACATATTACTAATGAAGCCCGAACTGAAAATTGTTCTCTGTTAATTTCTGTTGATTTATTTTACAGTCTAAAAGCATGATAGTATCTGGTTTATCAATTTTATGGTTTGAATGCATAAATTACTGCTTTACTTGACTACTGTTTGATTGGAAAATTGAGATATGATTGCATTCCCTGATACATATTTGTTTGCTTATGTGATCATGGTTGATTTGGAAAATTGAGACTAAAGAAAAATAAAAAAATTGTGTGATCAAATAAACAAATGGAACGACAGCCTTATTAGATATTTTAGAAGATGATGGACGGACCAGGTACATAGGGAACCCTAACGTGAACGTTGTCTCATACCAGATGGGATGTGGAGACCTGATAATTTGGCGCTCATACCGGACGGGGTATGAAAACGGCCCGCTTCACCTTCATACCGAACGAGATATTAAGGTTTAATAATTCAACGCTTATACCGGACGAGGTATGGGGACAACCCGTAATTGAGATTGTTAAAGAAAAAGGGTCACATGTAACGGAGACATCCCTATGAAACCCCATGGATACTAGTAGGCTGGTGAAAATATGACAGTTATTGTTTAGTTATTTGACGATGTGTATAGTTTTATGATATATTCTATGTTACTGATCCTATATGAAATTATGATCCGTAGGATATTATTGTCTGCATAGGTTGTTTTCATAAATTCTACTGTGGTAGGTGAACGGTAAATAATTTTATGATTGATAAATGAATTTGCTAAATTTAATGCTCTATTATTTGTTTTTATTTTATACCCACATTTATTTCTGTGTCGGTGATATAGTGTGATATCCTTAATGGGC